GATCTGCAGCTGTTTAGATAGTTGTCTCATTTCCTTAAGGACTGTAAGCTCCTTGAGGACAGGGTCCATGACTAATTCATTTTTGTATCCCTCAACATCTCACCCATAAATCTCCGATGAATGAACTGGAACATAATTCTTCCACTATGTGAGGAAGCTGAGTCTATGTTGGGTCCATAATCTCAGAGGTAAGCAAAATAATTGGAACAGGTTCAGAATAGAATCATGAAACAAAATGATGAAAGAGTGAGAAAAACAGAACTTATATTTGGGGGGAGAGGAAGGTCAAAGAAAGTCAGCCTAGAGAAGTTTGGAAAGTGATAGCAAGGGATTTTCAAACATATTAAAGAAATAATATTAAAAGGAGGCCTGAAGTTCTTTTATTAGAGAAAAAGACAAAAAATTACTCAGGTTTTAATGGGCGTTATGAGTCAGCCTGCCGAAGACAGACCAGAGCTTAGCTACTAGCGTGGTGTGATGAATGGCTGAGGTATGCCATACTTACCCCATTCCCTACAAGAATGAAAGTGTGACAAGAAGGACTCTGGTAAATTGTTTTTGCAAAATTACTTGTAAACAATTGCAAGCTTTTAAATTTTAGGGTTTTCCCCCAAGATGCTGAAACCTGTTTAAAGGAGAAGGGGCAGTTAGCCCAGGAAAGAATGGTAGGGACTCCCCCTGGGATTTGGAAAGCAAGATGGGTCCAATCCACAAAAAGACAGACGGCCTTTGATGTCCTGGCGATCAAGGACCAGGGCTTAAGGACCAGACTCTTAAATCGCGTGGCATTTACTGCCCTAGATTAAAAATAAAAAAAAATACTTTTGTGCATCAGTGTCTGTGATCCAACACATGGCAAGTTTCCAAATTCAGTCCTAACCCTCAGAGGGTAACGTTTGGAGGGCTCCCGGCAGGAACAGCGAGGAGCCCATTTCTGGAAGGGGCAGCTTAATGGTTTTCTGCTCTCCCCACCCCAAAACCATTAACGCGTTCCTTTCCCAGAGCCCAGGTTCAAGCCGAGGGCAAAGGGAATTAAATGAAGAAGCTGAAACTGCAGCTAAGACCAGGGAGTTGCCAAGAGCCTAATTTTAGGCCCTGGCTTCCCCAGCTGACGCCCTGCTCTGCTGGCTCGGCCAGGAGGACCCCGGTGTGGCCGTCCCGGTGACGGCGACGGGGTGAGAAGAGCGTCTGCCTAGCCATCTGCAAAAGCGATCAGCGTGGCGTTGGTGTGTTTTCAGAGAGACTCCAGTAATTTCTCCTTCGGCAAATGTTTCTTCAGGTGTTCGAGAATCAATAAGGGAAAACGTCGGTGCTGGGCAGAAGTCCCCACATGTTTGTCCTTCTAACGGTCATGCTTCTCCACCTCGGAGTGCTCCCCAAAAGGGAACGGATCCCGGAATCCCTGGATTTTCCTGGCAAGCAACTCCCTGCTTTCCTCTGGCCACAGCTCACGGCCACAGCCTCAGTGCTGCCCAGCACGCCTCAGGCTCTGTGACATGCACCTGGAGGGGTGGCAGCCATGCTTGCACTTGGGGAAGAATTTCTAGGTCTCTCCCACTGGGGTTCAGGCTGTCCTTCCTCTCTTCACCTATTTCCCAGCCGCAGGTTTCATGCTTAAGGCGTCCCCTGCAGAGGGCAGACAGTGAGAGCTGGCGTCTCCCAGATCAAAGGAGAAACAATAGATTTTAAAGCCACAACTTTGTTATCCTGCACCCGGAATAATACACGGATAGAAATATAAGCCCCCAAATCACACTCCACTCTGAATTGTCACCAGAGAGCAACATTGCTTGCAGAATCATGGCAAAGGAAACTCCCTTCACAAACCACTCCCAAGAGCATGTCTTCCTTTTGCACAATTCTCATGCCTGGGCCCCCCACCGGGGACGGGGATACACATTCTGTGTCCCTACAGGTTGGGAACTGTGATCACCGGCCGGTGTTCCCTATCTGAAAAGGAGACTGTTTTTTATACATTTTTTTTAAAGAATTTATTTTTATTGACTTCAGAGAGGAAGGGAGAGGGAGAGAGCGAGACAGAAACATCAATGATGAGAAAGAATCATGGATCGGCTACCTCCGGCACGCCCCACACTGGGGATGGAGCCCACAACCTGGGCTTGTGCCCTGACTGGGAATCGAACCGAGACCTCCTGGTTTGTAGGTCGACGCTCCACCATGGAGCCACGCCGCCCCGGTGAGACTGTTAATAAAGGCTCACGGCGACGGGCGATGAAAAAGCAGGCTGGCACTGCAGGCCGAGGGAGAGCGTCCCTCAGGGGCTGTGCCCTAGTGAGGCCCACTGTTGTCGAGGGACACAAACTGGCCCCACCACTTCTCCCTCTTCCTCTGTTTTCCTTCCAGTTTTCCTGGAAGATTCGCTGTCCCTGTCTCCTTGTCCCAAGTCCCCCGTGTCGGTCTGTCTCTAAACCTGCCTCTGCAGCCCTCCCGCATGCACACATACACGCATACACGCACACGCGCGCCCCTGCCGCCCCCCTTCCCGTCTCTTGGCGCTGGCCCTTTCATCCTCTCCCTCGGGGATTTGAGATGTCGCTGCAGGAAGTGCTTGTCGGCCTAGGCAGCAGCAGCAGGGCCCTGTGGCTTTGACAAACCTCATTTAATTGGGAGGAAGCCAGGAGAATTTGAAAGAACTGAAACATCCACGATGCTCCTTTTATCAGGCATAATTTAAACTCTGCATGGAAAAACCCCTATATGTATAAAGAAAAGTCAACTTCCCTCCTGCTGCGAGCACTCTCCGTCTCCCCCCCAGCGCAGGCCGCCTCCTGCAAGATTCCACCTTTTCATTTCTCTAAAAGTGTCAAAGCAGATTTGGGCCCTGTGGCTGGGCGAACAGCGAAGGAATACAGATCGGCCTCTCTGTTACACCCGCATGCGTGCGCGCCCACCCCCACCTCCCCCCGCGGAGCCCCTCTGTCGGTGGCTCTGCTTCAGATGGCCCGGAAAATCAAAACCCACGTTCCTCACAACACGTCAGTGTGGACGGTGCTGTTTCTTCCTAATTACCCTTCATCAGGCAAAAGCTGACGCCCAGAGAACTTGGAAGATCCCAGCAGTTCTCTGTGTGTAGATAGAATAACAGATCCTGGAGGAGGAGGACCAATGGGAGACGTTTCTTTAAGTGGAGAGAGGGGAGTGTGTGTGTGTGTGTGTGTGTGTGTGTGTACACCCAAGCGTGTATACTTGCCTGACGTGGTAGCTAGAAGTCCTAAGCCCCAGAGGAGAAAGCTAAGAAGGAGAGATAGAGGAGCTCAGATTGGGAAGAGGGGAGGGGATGGGGATGCAGTGGGGGGTGAGGGACCAGGAGGGTACCAGTAAGAATTCCAGGTCCCTGGGAATGCGTTTAACTCAGCCACGGACCAAACCATGTCCCTTCCCTCCTTTCGAATTCCACTCCAGGTCCACCTCCAGTCTCATCCATCTCACTTGAGTTATTCTAGTTCCTCCGAAGACTTGCCTTGAGCGCACACACATTCCCTGAACATCTGCGGCTGATTACGCACAGACTGGAGCTGTTTAGATGTGATTTGTGCTAATATGTGTACGAGGGTGCCCCGCTTCCTCTCCCTCACCCTCTCTTCCTCCCACGCTGCGGGATCCTGGAGGTCAAGGACAAGCCTCTTTCCCCTCAGTTTTTATAGCGCTTACTATGTTCTTCACACTTAATGGCAACCTAATAACTGCTGACGACTGCCTCTTCTCACAGGGTCACGTCAGGCACATTAACCCCAGCCCATGACGGTGGTTATTTTTGGAGATCCTCAGAACTCACTTCAATAATAAAATACCTTGAGAAATCCCAAACGAAGAGCCCTGGGCTGTGGCAGGATAATGTCTAGGATGCAGTGGGGCTGCGTTTGCAACCCTGGAGACTCCGGCCAGACCAGATGTCTAAGGACCTTGGTCAGAAGCTCCTCACCCCATCCCGGCACCTTCTTCCCCGTCTGAGCCCCTAGACCAGTGATGGCGAACCTATGACACGCGAACTCATTTTTTTGGTTGATTTTTCTTTGTTAAATGGCATTTAAATATATAAAATAAATATCAAAAATAGAAATCTTTGTTTTACTACGGTTGCAAAGATCAAAAAATTTCTATATGTGACACGGCACCAGAGTTAAGTTAGGGTTTTTCAAAATGCTGACACGCCGAGCTCAAAAGGTTCGCCATCACTGTCCTAGACCCTTCTTCTTAGCTTTCTTCTCTCCAGTTTAGGACTCCTAAAAACTGCTTACAGTTGAATGGTGGGTGTTTCCAAAGAAACCCCACCTAAGGCTAGTCCCCCCCCCGCCCCAAACAGCCGGGCATGACCGCACCGCCCACATCCTCCGCGCAGCCCTTCCTGGCCGCAGTCGGAGAAACACGAGGAGAGCTCCGGCCACATGATCCCTCAGCAGATTGCAGATTTGGAGGATGACTTCAGGCCCCGGCAGCTAAGCTGATTTCAGGGTAACTTGTGTTTCCCATGGGCCTCCGGCCTGGCGGACGCTCCCCTCCCCTGGCGCCTGCCTCAGTACTTCCCTTGGCAGCATCAGATCACCCATCAAGACCCGCTCAGCCTCCCCTCTGACATATCCATGTCACCTCTCATCTTACTCCGTGGAGAGAGACGGGGTTGTTAGCAGCTTTGGTTCTGCTGCTCCTGGCAGATGCCCGCGAAAGCAAGCAGCTCCAGGGCAACTTTCGTCTCACCCCGTTTCGCAGAGTAAGTGTGTGTGGGGGGAAATGTTTGGATCATCACAGGGAGGTCTGTGTCACCTCAATCCTCCTGTGCCTTTGAGTCTGAGAGAATCTCATGCAACACTCAAGCGAGATGGGTCCCATCTTGCTTCTCCCGGGCTAATTGATCTCCAAGCTCACTTCTGGCTGTCAAGTCTATCATTCTCCAGGGCTCAGAGGAAATACTTCGCACCGAGACGGACACGTGTGTACACACACACACACACACACACACACACACACACACGCTCACTCACCGTCGGGAAGCTGGTGCAGCTGAGATGGCAGGGAGCTGAAATAATCATGGACCAGGGCCTCCTGGGCGGAGACGCGGTCTCTAGGGAAGCCTTTCAGCATTTGCGAGGCCAGGTCTTCGGCTTCCGGAATCCTGCCCAACCTGAAAACGTGGGGGAGAAAAAGTGAGTTTCTCCAGAGAGCTTCCTTCCAAAAAAAAATACACGGGGAAAGAAGAACAGGAAAGAAAAGGGTGTGTCAAACAGAATTTTCCTGGGATTAGTAAAGTTGATGGCAAGTGGGAAAATCACCCCCACACGGAAGCTCTTACCTGTCCTGTTACTAAGAGGAAGGGAAAATCTGTGTTCTATCGTTCACCCACCTCTCCCTCCAGCCTCCATAGTGTCTCTGGCACCCTCTGTATTATAAAAACCAAGTGGCCCTAACGCCGTAACGACCAAACCACCGGTCACCAGGAGGCGTGGTGAGGTCTGCAGGGGGGTCTGGGGTCCCGTGGCGGTGGGCGGGTGGGCAGGGCTGCGAACGCGGCCATGCGATTTCACGCAGTGGGCCTCTAGTGTATACATAAAGGACCCAGAGTTATAATTATAGAAGCAGAAATATGTAATTAAGGACTCTTCTTTGAGGGACACGGCAGAAAAGCCCTACTGGAAATATGCTCCCAGGGCAGCAAGCACAGACTCCTGCTGGGGGAGGAGGGAGAGAAGCAATGAAAGCTCGGGTGGAAAACACCCTGAGGTACAGTGCGTCGGAAGCTCAGCTCCCAGGGTCCTGAGGCAAGATGCTCTCTTGGTTCTCCCTGAGATACAGCCTGGAAAGAGACATAGTTAAGTACCCGAATTACAGTAAGGACAGAGCCTCGTGTTGGCCTGATGTTGAATTACAAAGCTGGGGATGAGTAAATCCATTAGTTGAGCAGCTACTACGTGTTGTAGGTGCGTGGCTCTGAGAGATACAGGCAAGACTCTGCCCTCTGGCAGCTGGGTCTAGCAGAGGAGTCAGACACTAGACAAATTATCATACAAATGAGCGAGTACAACTGTGAAGGGAAAGGCCCAGGTACCTGACTGAGAGTGGGAGGAGCTGGTCAGGGAAGGCTTCCCTGAGGAAGCGGCATCTGAGCTGAGAGCTGAGGAACTGGGGTAGGCGATGTAGGCAGAGATCTGTGGTGCTCATACAGATCCTGGAGTGCAGGGGAGAGGAGTGAGTTTAAGGGGAGAAAGGCCCGTGGGGTGGCCTGGACAAAGAGTGGGGACAGATCTGAAGACAGGGAGGGTGGCAGGGGCTAATCCTCCAGGCCTTGTGGGTCTTCATGCTTCCCATTGACTTACAATGTTTGAAAGTCTTTGCTAATCGAGTGCCAGTCATTTAAGTACACCCATCTCCAGAGCCCGCAGAAGGGTTTACAAGGGGAAAGCCACAGGAGCAGGTCCCAGGAGGCAATTAACCACAGGGCTGATGTCTGACATTCAGAATTCAATTGCGTGGCCATGCAAATCGCCAACTAAGCAAAAATAGAGGGGCTTAGTTAATGTCAACTATCCTACCAGCCTGAAGCACAGAGAGCTGACACCCGTCCAGGATGCGGGGATGCTGGGACTCCTGGCCCAGAATCCTAATTTGCCTGATTTTTGCATAAGATTTACATGATACACTTTCAGGTGTCTCATTCCCATGACATGAAACTGTTTCTACAAACAGGTAACTTTACCCTCACACTCAAGAGTCATTGCTTTACAGACTTAAAGAAAACATTTGCAAATCCTCAGTCCTTGCAAATTTCCAAGCCAATTAGAAGACAAGGGAACCTGGGCAGAGGCCTGCCCGGTAGCTGGTAGCCAGAAGAAGGGCTAGTGGGTACGGGTGCCCTGTCCAGGTTTGGGTTTTCAGGACTGATGAAATGGGGTTGGAGTGGGAAAGCTGGTACGAATCACTAGGGCCTGGTATCACTCCAGATGGAGATTCAGGGAAAACCTTGTGAGAAAACGGTTCTAGGTTCACCTTTGCTATAGGGTGGAAGGATGTGTGCCCAACTTGGGGCCTGAACCCACTCTGTGAATGCCCAGGGGGTGGGTGGGTAGGTGACTATAGTGAGGAGGGAGCAATGCATCTATTGGCGCCCACCTCCGCACTCCCACCCCAATCAGCACTCTGTTCCCTTCCGCACATGCACATTCCCACCTGTGAGCTCCTCACAATTGAATTGTTACGAGGCGAGGAAGGCTGCAGGACTGCTGTGGACTAGTGTGAGCAGGGCGTGCATACTGCCTTATTTAGGCTGTTTACGCCGATGGCTGGGGAAGCCAGGAAAAGCTGATGGAGCTCAGGGGATAGTAGGGGCACATGGGAAGAACAGGCCACTCTTACCAGAAAATTCAAAGAAAGGAGAGTAGGTCCTGATTGATGACAAGAAGGCTTCTGTTTTAGGACTTTCCTCTTCAACGAACTAACCTTCCCACAAGGTTGTACCAAGGCTTCTACTGGTGTCAGGATGGGTCTCAGTCCCTCGGCCTCCACACTATGACCGCCACCACCCACTCCCTCTGCTCCTTGGCTGGCAGAGGCAGTGGCCAGGGCAAAGTGTACCAATGAAGGCTTCTCCTGCGAGCCAGTCTCATGTTGGTCTTCCCTGTGTAAGCCACGGGGCGGTGCTAAAATACATCTATCTAGATGCAGGCGGGGGGGAGAGGGGGGGCCGGGGCGCTGTACGCTGGCCAGAGAACATTCGCACTTTTTGAAAGAAATGATAAACAGCAGTTCCCTGGAGCTTGTCTTCAAAACAACAGGGACTTTCGGGGGTGCAGTGCGTTTGAAAATAAGTGTGGGTGTGCGGACATCCTTATGGGGGTGGCGCGGGGGTGGGGGAAGAGGTGGCTCCCAATATGAGATCCTTTGCTAATTCATGGCTCTACATCCCGACCTACGCTACTCTTTGCCCTCTGGTAGGCACTCCACATGGAGGCTTTCTGAGGCGCGTGAACGCTGTGTCTGGGGAAATGAAACGGAATTTGGTTGGGTTCAACGCGACCGCATTTTCAGGGAAGAACAACATGGAATGTTCCGTTGGGATCTCCCCCCTCCTCCCCACCTGCGAGAGTGTGTTTTTCTTTGACATTTGAGCCTGTTCCCCTGTCTCTGATGTTTCCCTCACTGCCCTTTTTGCCTCTTCACTGGAGCAAAAAGAACAGGGCCTTGGCTAATTACTCTCAGATCAAATAATACTGGTTATTGTAATTGGTCATTGTCCGAAAACACTGAGTTCTTCTTAGCCCGGAGGTTGCCTGGCACGGCTTAGTTAGCTAACTATTCCGGGAATGTCGCTATTATCTGTTTTACTTTGCAAAAGAAACTAGGGATTTGTTGAAAGCTGGTAATAAAAGTCGGCCCTGGTCTGCGCCGAGACTGGGTGGAGAGGGCCTGGGAAAGCATGACCCCCATGAATCAAGCCGCCCCCCCCCCCAATCGCCACTCAATGATGTTATTTGGTTTCTCTGTGTCGGGGAATAATAAACCCACTAGGTTTCCTTGCAGGCCAACACTCCCTGTTCTCAGGGCCTCGGGCATGGTGGAGGGGCCCAGAACAATTTTAATGACCAAACGCAGTGAAAGTAAAATGGTTCATAGAGAAAAACCCTCAGGCTCCCAGGTGGCTGGCTCTCCCAGAGGCCTCTTCCTGGGGCGTGGCCCCGGAACAAGGTGCTGGGTGGACTGAGGTCGGGAAAACGCCCCTTCAAACCCTGCTTCCCAAGGTGGTGCTCACCTGTTCCAGACGTTCTGAAGGCTCTGAGGTTTAAGCAGTGGGAACCATTCTGAAAGGCACACACAGATGCGTTACAAAGCGAAACGACCCTAAACTCCTGTTTCCAAAAATATTAAATCCGAAATGTTCTCCTTGGCCTGGAGGAAGGGGGAATCCGGGTTCAGGCAGGCAAAGTAAAGGATGTGGAAGGCCTCTTTTCACTGTGAATATTTTATGATTCTGAGTCAGGTCACTATTATGGGGTGAATTGTGTCCCCTCTCCCCCCAAATGCATATGTTGAAGTCCTAACCTCAGGCACCTCAGGATTTTACCTTATATGGAAATAGGGTCGTTACAGATATAATTAATTAAGATGAAATCATTAGGGTGGGCCTTAATCCAATATGATTGGAGCCTGGCCGGTGTGGCTCAGGGGTTGAGCATCGACCCAGGAACCAAGAAGTCACCAGTTCCATTCCAACCAGGGCACCTGCCCGATTTGCAGGCTCCATCCCCAGTAGTGGGTGTGCAGGAGGCAGCCTATCAATGATGTTCCTCTCTCATCGTTATTTCTATCCCTCTCCCTTCCTCTTGCTCCAAAAATCAATAAAAACATTTTTTAAAATCAGGGGACACCGAGACAGACATGTACACGGGAAGACAACCTGAAGAGACACACGGAGAAGCCAGCCATCCGCAGGAGAGGCCTGGAGCAGACCCTCCCTCAGCGCCCTCAGAAGGAACCCATGCTGCCCACACCTCAATTTCAGATCTGCCTCCGGAGCTGTGAGATAATACATTTCTGTGGTGTATGCCATCCCGTTTGTGGTATTTTGTTATGGTAGCCCTAGCAAACTTACTATAGTTTGTAAAGCCAACAAACATTGATTGAGCCTTGACTGTGTGCAGAGCATGTGCCACATGCTGGGACAGCACAAAGGAAGTCGGTCCACCCTCTCCGAGCTTATAATTCATCGGAGAGAACAAAGTTTGCTCGCATGAAAAGTCATGTGACCGATGATGATGGGGCAAAGTCTCAAAAGAGGTCAAAAGTAACGGGGCTAATTTTATATATTACTTGCAGGAAAAATGGAAGTGGAACCTGGCTTGAATGATCCAAAATGGATGACCATAAAATATGTAATTTTCTTTGGAGCATTCTTTATAACATTTACGTGAGTATACATGTGTTTCTATTATTCTTGGTATTGACACTATTTAGCCCAAAATAAAACCACCATAAAAGGGAAATTCCTTCAGGAAATACTAATTGAATGCTTCCTCTATGTAAGGGCCATAAAAGGAGCTGTAGGGGAGATGAGCTGACGCTCCTATCAAATCTCTGTTTCTCATTCCAGTGAGAAAAGAGGATTTCAACTCCCATTTAAAATGATGTTTTCATCTTGTACTTTTCTTGGGCCTGAAATGTAATTGTTTTGGTTTTTAAAAGATCTCTTCTTCCAGCTCCTGCAGGAATGGAAAACACCAAGACTGTTTACCCAACAAAGAATTGAACCGATTTTGCTAATGCTGACAAACTCACGTTTGCATGTGCACAGCGAATGACCTGGGAGGCTGCGCACCAGTGATGGTGGTTACACACGGGCTTCCCTCCATGTTTACTTTCTTAAATTTATTATTTTAATCAAAATCACATATTCTTTTGAAACTTCAAAAGTAATTTCTTTTTAAAAAAATATGTTTTTATTGATTTCAGGAAGAGAGAGGGAGAGATAGAAACATCAATGATGAGAGAGAATCCTTGATCGGCTGTCTCCTATCGAGCCCACAACCCGGGCATGTGCCCTGACAGGGAATCAAACTGTGACCTCTTGGTTCATAGGTCGAAGCTCAACTACTGAGCCACGCCAGTCGGGCTTCAAAAGTAATTTCAATTAAAAATGAAATGTAAAGCCCTAGCCGGTTTGGCTCAGTGGACAGAGCATTGGCCTGCAGACTGAAAGGTCTCAGGTTTGATTCCGGTCAAG